GCTAGTAACTGTGTCGTAAAGCCACTGTCCAGACCAACAGCTGTTTCTACTGCGTCCCCATCCCAGGGCCTAAGCTCTATGAATAGAGCATCGTCTGGATGTATTGAGACCCTAGATAATTTTTTTCTCTAAACCTGACACGCAGTTGCTGGCGCCATCTTCCCAACCAAAGGCCAGTCCTGTGAGTGCCCCCACTACCCCCTGAAGCCATCCAGGAACCTGCCTGCCAACAAGGGTGAAGGTGGCAGAGCTGCAGGCGGCCTGAGGACCCAGGTTTGGGATTCGGGCCCAGCTCTTGACAATGATCTGTGCGCTCCCAGGGGAGTCCTCTCTCCGCCTGGTCTCAGGACCCCCATCCCCATCTCTATGAGCCTTCTACTCAACTGGACGCAGACGCGGAGCTTCCCAGGGAAGAATTTGAAGCCCACACCTGAGTCCCATTGTTGTTTCCTCCATCATGGCTGACACCATGAGAGTGCGCGCTGCGAGGCCGCGGATGCGCCCTGCGGTCGTATCGCCTGCTGCCAAGATCGGGTGCTCCTCAGCCCTGAGTCGACTGCCGCTGGAAAACCCACCCGCAAGCTTACAGTCTAAATCTGGTGGGGTTTTCTGGGGTTTTTGTTTCTTTGTTTCTGTCCTTTTCTGCAAGGCTGCAGCTTTGCTATGTAAAATGATGCCCATTTCTCTCTAGGGGTCTGATGACAGGCTCCGCCCCTCACCGCTAACAGTCGCTTCACTGCCATGATCAAGGTCTAGGCCGTGTTTCTGGTCTGCAGGGCAGTGCGGGACCAGAGGCGGTGCCTGTGGGTGGGTGGAGGAGTGGGGAGGGGGGGAAGAGTTCAGGCCGCCTCCCTGGCTTCTCCTGCCGGTCGCCTCACCTCCTGCTTCCCCTTCGTGTCTGCTGCCTTCTCAGCCCTCACCTAAATGGCTCTGAGAGAAGGGCGTGGCAAGCTCCCGCGTTCCTGGTTATAAATGATAAGACTTCCAAACTGCTTTTTAAATTTTTTATTGTATTGCTTAGAGAGAGAGAGAGAGAAGAAAGGAGAAAGATGGATTTTGTTGTTTCACTTATTTATGCATTCATGGGTTATGTCTTATTTATTTATTTTTATTTTATCTTATTTTGAATCCCCACCTGAGGGCCTGCTTAGAGGGGAAGGGAGAGAAAGAAAGGGAGAGAAACATCAATGAGAGAGAAACATTGATCGGTTTCCCCTTGCGCTTGCCCTGACAGGGGACCGAATCTGCAACCCAGGCATGTGCCCTGACCAGGAATCGAACCAGCAACCTTTCAGTTAATGGTAGGACCCAATGAACTGAGCCTCACCAGTCAGGGTGATTGGTGGCTTCTTTTTTGTGTCCTGACCGGGAACCAATTAGGATGACTCTCTAACCAACTGAGCTACCCGGGTAGGGCCTACAAAGGTTTTTGGTTTGTTTTGTTTTGTTTTTTTTAAAGGGTCAAGGCCTCAATGTAAAAGAAAGTATCTCTAATGATAGAATTTCAGGTCTAAGAACATACTGAGTGGGTGGGTGCAGAGAGGACAGGTTAGGTAGGGGTGGGAGATGGAGGTAGGATGGAGTTTTCTTCAACTCTGGAAACCGATATGTTTCATTCATTCAATTTTATCATGCACTTCATGTGCCGAGCATGGGGTAAGCACCGGGGATTTGGAAATGAAAGCCAGGATCCCTAGCCTCATCATGCTCCCAATTAATTAGACCACTTGGAACATTTAGCTTTTCATTTATTTTTAATTTACAGCTTAATATGCTTTACTTCAGGAGAGAAATTTATTCTTCTTTCTGGAATAAACAGACCACTTAGCAGTTTTGCTTTCTAACGATACACATCCGTTCAATTAGCAATCATGTGTTATATGCCAACCGAATGCCCAATGTGCATTAGACTGCACATAGCTTATATGCTAAGTGTAGGACACAGGAAAAGAGGTACAGTCACTCCTACCCTCAGGAAACCAAGAGAAATATCGGTGGTCCCGAGGGGAGCCCGCTGGCCAGCCCTGCTCTTGTCTCCCGTGATCAGCTGACCTGTGCTTCCCAAGTTTCTTTCCTCTCTCGCTCAATAGCTGTCAAGTCGCTGCTCCTCTCCTGGGAGAGGAGGGCTCTTAGAGGGCCCTGGGGAAAATGATTCTGGCCGGAGGGAGGCCGGTGTCTTCCAGGGCGCTTGGCCTCGTTGGTCACTTCGCTCTGTGCGGGTTTGCTGAGGCAGCGTGTTCGGGGGGAGTCCGGCCCAGCACCTAATCCCACGCCAAACGTTTGGCACCAGCTCAGTTCCCAAAGGCTCCCAGAGAGAAAGCTGTGTGACAAATGAGACCAATCAAAGAGGAAGCACTGTCTTCGGAGGGAAGCTTGTGGAGACTCTCAGGAAGGGGCAGATAGAGCAGGATGCGGCGAGGCCTCGGCTCTCACCCAGCGCTTCCCAAGATGCAGCTGCTTGCAGGGCGCCCTGCATTGTGAGCTGGAGGGCTGTAGTTAGTGGTCACCTTCTTAATTCACTGCTCTGCAACACCAGCTTGGCAGGCTCTCCACTGTCCCCGAGCAAAGCGTTGGCCTTCCGTGAGCCCAGCAAGTTCAGACACTGGCAAAGGAAGGGAAGTGGGGCTCAGGTGTGTCTGCCAGCGATGACGCAGGGGCCCCCCCTGTGCAGGAGGGGCGCAGGGAGATGCGAGAGCTTCGCACAGGCCCGATCCCAGCACACACCGCAGGGGGCCCTGGGGCCGGGCTGCAGCTGTGCAAATGCTCACGTGGCAGGTCAGGTCGGTGCTTTTGCACCAAGCCCCCTGCAGGTAGTGACACTGTGCAGATGCGGGCAGCACTGTGGGGGCCCTTCTTGTGCTTTTGGGGAGGGAGGGACAGGACTGGAAGTTGTCTGGGAAAGAGCAAGCTGCGAACAGGCAACCATAGGCAACCGCTCTGCCTATCAATTTAACTCCTTTGTTGATACATTGGGTTGGCCAAAAGGTTGGTTTTGTTTTTTTGGGTCCCCCCCACCCCGATAAGGTGGCTCCAGTAGTGCTTAGTTGGCTTTAACTTCATTTGAAACAATTTTGTTAGATTGTATTGTGACAGCTGTCACATCAGCCTGTATTTTAAAAAAACCATATCAAAATTGGTGAATTTTTGTGTAGCCATTTCAGTAGGGAAGGTGGAAGAAAATACGCAATATTTTTGGCCTATTATGCTTTATTATTTCAAGAAAGGTAAAAACACAACTGAAATGCAAAAAAAAAATTATGCAGTATATAGAGAAAGCGCTGTGACTGATCGAACATGTCAAAAGTGGTTTGCGAAGTTTCGTGCTGGGGATTCCTCTCTGGACAATGCTCCACAGTTGGGTAGACCAATTGAAGTTGATAGCAAATATTAATTGAAAACAATCAACATTATACCACGCAGGAGATTGCTGACAGACTCAAAGTATCCAAATCAATAAAGTTATTGGGGAAAATAAAAAATGTGTCTTTATTTTATGGACTTTTTTCCCAATCCAAAATTAACTCATGTATTAGTTTGGTGATCCTTTATTGGGACTAGACACTTTCTGAGGAGTGAAGGAAACAAAAATAAGCAAGAAAGTGCCAGCCTTCTAGCTCAGGGATTTCTAACATTTTTGATCATCATCCACTGTAAAATGTAAAAAATACATTTTATTTTGATTCAGTATAACACACACACAATACATCCTGACACATTCTATTTCGTTCTTCCTCTTTTCTTTTCTCTTCTTTTTGAACACTGATCGCCGCTCCATGGATTTCAGGACTGGCTAATGGGCCATGAGGAAAAGTGTGAAGAATGCTGGAGCCCACAGTCTAGTCACGACGAGAACTAAGCGAGCCAACACTCACAATTCCAAATTCAACAGCAGAGGTCCGTCCCCTGAGCTGGGTACTGGGGCCTGGCTTGGAGGAGGGACCACCTAGCTCAGGTGCGGCAGGTGGCCACGGAGGTGGAGCTGAGTCCAGAGAGCAAGCAGGAGGCCACTTGGCCGAGATGACATATTAGCAGGACATTTGCATGCCAAGGGGAAGACACAGTAAAAGGGTGCATATGGATCTTTACTACTGAATTCATGGAATCCCTCGCGCTTCATTGTTATGTGGACTGTGTACAGATAGAGCAAACTATTCCCACAAGTGTCATAATATTATTTTAATGTATATCATATATTATAGTACTATATTCTGCATACTGAGCTGTACTGTATAGTAGGACCCACACAGTACATTACAGCGAACATTGTATTGAATACTATATGATGTACAATGAGCATTGATCACTATACCTGTTCAGATGCAGTAACATGATGATAATCATACAGCATTGATTTTATTATTGCAACTGTTGTTATTAAAGAGGATCCGAAAGAGAGCCAGCACCCACGCCATCCTGCCTGCCAGGGAACCTGATTAACCCAGAAATGGTGGGTGGGGCCTGGGTGAGATCCTCTTTCCTTCCCAGGTCCCATCCGCCTGGGCTCGGGTGGAATCAGGTAGGATCTCAGCTGTGTGGCACTGTTCCTTCCTTCCCAGGAAGAGAGGGGTCTACGTGCCCCGCAGAGGGAGGGAGCGGCAGGCGAGGGGCCAGGAACTTCCCTCCTGTGCTGGAGCAGGCCCGCCCCTTCTCTGGGGGCCACGGGGGACAGAGCAGGTGCAGCGGGCACCGAGATGCGGTCAAGCAACCTCATCATGAGGCGTGTGGGTGCCCCGCCAGTCCCCTCCTCAGCTTCCCCCGCCTCATGGCTCCTCTTCCCACCCCACCTCCGCCACCTCCCCCTCCTCTGCACACCCCCACCCACCACCCCCTCCCACTGCTCACATGCATGTTCTTAGATTAAAACAGAGTACCAGACCTCTGTATCACCTGGGTGTTGAGCTGCTTTTGGGCAAGGCAGTGATTTCTATATCTTTCTTTATTCACACTTGTGCCCCCAGAAAAAGATGGCTCTTCATACATGCTTCTCTTAATTGGCACGTTGTTAAGGTAATTACCGGGCCCAAAGTTCACTGGTGTTGGCAGCAATGGGTATAAGGCAGAAGCAACAACAAAGCGCGTAAACACGTGTCTATTCCGGGCAAGAGAAAGTACAAGGTCACGGCAAAGGCTTGATGTGGCCAGGAAGGTACTGCATGAAGACGGTCTGGTTCTGGAGCCTAACAGGTATGAGTGGCTCACACAGGTGTCCCAGGCTAGTGAGCCCACCTGCAGGCACGCCGTGGTCACCTGTCTCCTGTCCTCGAGGCAACTTGGAATACCAGCAAGACTTAGTTGCTTCCTTCCAAACTCATAAAGCGATTTTTGTTTTATTCCCAAACATGACATCTCTTTTCTCCCTTTCTCACTTAATTAGAAAAGAAATAATGACCTGTTCTGTGATAGGTATAAAGAGGATAATGCAGAAGTTGGCATTTGACTCGGGGTTTTAAAATTAACTTGAGAAGAAAGAGTGCCCATAGCTGTTGGTGAGAACTGAATGGTTGTCACAGAATCTCCTCAAAGCAGCTCTGTTGTGTAGACATTATTATGCCCATGTGACAGCTCAGGGTCCCTATCCTCACAGGATCAAGGGCGGGTGGCAGCCTAGCAACATGCTCTAAGTGATGTTTACTCTAGATCTAGAATTTATTTTAAGGTCAACATATGCAAAAAGTTATGAAAACACCAAAGCACTAGTAAAAATAATAAGAATGATGTAATACATTTTCAATCCAAATCAAAACCACTTTTTTTCCCTCTTCTGCTGTTTTAAATTATCTGTTGTAGCCAGGGTTCTGACGTGGGTGTATCTGCCCCACACATGGAGCCGGGGCGGGGCTGCAGCAGACACAGAGCTGGGCTCACGGCGAAGGAGGTGGCAGGGGAGGGGGCAGGGAGCCGCCACACACACTCCAGGTCCCGAGGACGAGCGAACCCACCTCTGTAATAGCTCACCCAACGATCTGGACACAACATGGAGGGGCGGAAGCCTTGGGTAGCCGCCACTGGGTAGGAGTGACCCAGGCTCCCGTGGGAAGGACAGGCTCCTCGGGCCCCAGTGAGGGCAGGCGGCTGAGTGACCATGGAGAGAAGGAGGAGGAGGAGGAAGTGTGGCAGCAGCCTTGGATCCTGCCAGGGGATGGAAGGGCTTCTGCGCATGAACCTGGAGGAGAGGAGAATGTGGGGACTTAGGTTCAAATACGTCCTTTCTGGGGAAGCCTGCATGCAGTTTATGGTGGACCGATGTTTAGGCGGCGTTGTTAAGCTAAAAATAGAAGTGCTTTCAAAGTGAGAAGCAATAGCATTTCCGAGTATTTGAGATCGATGAGAATAGCCCTTCGGGAAGCACTGACTCAGGCAGAAGCCCAAGCAGTGTTTCAAGCAGGAGGCACAGATAATGGGTGTTTATGAGAAAGGAAGGGGAACAATTACATCCATAGGAGGAACCCTTGAAGGAGATGGAAAAATGCTGAATATGGTCTGTGTTTCTGACCCAAGTACCTCTGTGGACCTCCGGGGACGGGAAGCTCGGTCTCCCTGTGCCCACCAGCCCCGGCAGCTCGGAATACAGTGGGTTCAGAGCCCATGAGTCCATCCGGGCAGACAATCAGAATGCCCTCCCTGGCTGAGCTGCGCTGCGTGCCTCAGGCCAACCGAGTTGAGTCTTCACCCAGTATTGGTAGCAACCTGGGAATCAGACTCCTGGAGAAAATGCTACCCGGTGACCTGCTTAATTTGGAGATGCATTGTAATTATTCAAGGTCGACATGTCCACGGCTGACCTGCTGGTCTGTTGTTCTTTAATTAAGCGGTAGAGACGAGGCCCCCAGGAGCTCCCCCAGAGCAGCTGCCGATGGGTTCCTTTGCCCTGAGCCATCGCCCAGAGAGAACCATTCGCCCCCGGGAAATGATCTTAATGTGCATCTACCACCCGTGGCTGAGGCAGACAAGGCTCTGCCCACGTGGCTCTCAGAGAACTACCAGTCTTAAGTCAAATGCCACTTCCTAGAGGAGAGAGCGGAAGATGGCAAAGTGAGAGCGCTTCACACGCTACCACCTCTTTTCAGAAATGCTGGCCCACCTGCCCCCACCCTGGATATGCACACCGGGACATGGGCTGGAACACGCATGTGCGCGCGCACACACACAGCTCCCGGAGGCCCACATGACACCTTCGCGCAGTGGATGAGCATCAGGCAGCAGTCGATGCCCCTGAGTGAACTCTGCCAGCCCGACCTACGATCGTTGGTGTGGCGAAGAGCTATGTCCAGCGGCTGTGGTGACTCAGGGAGAGGGTGTGAAGAAGCTCATTCAGAGGAGACGTGAGATCGGGACACATTAAATGTACCGGTCCAGGCTGCCTGTTTTGCAACAATGCTGTTGGCTGCCAATTACAAGAACAACGACACTTTTGTTTCATGCCCTGCATGGTGCTTGCTTAGAAATGGTTCAGAAACACAAGTTCACTTCCTTTCATGTGAATGGAACAAAACGGCAGTTCCTTACTTTAAAAATGTGCGTGTCAGACTTGTCTAATGCAGACCACCACCCCCGGCCCGGCTTGTCACCGCCGGTGGGGGTTAACTGTCTCCACTCCCGGTGCTGCCGACCTGGCTCAAGCTGTAGGGGTAGCGGAGGGACAGCCTCCAGCTGGTCGGCCTAGCTCGGAGCTCTGGGAGACAGGACACCCCTGTCACCTGGCTGAGAAGGAAGTGGCTATGGGCTTCCCGCATGGGGCTCAGCTCGGGACAGAGCTGACCTTTGCAGCCACGCCTGACCCTGCTGAAAAAAGGACATCAGCTAACATGTCCTCACATAGGCAGGACAGAAATAATGAATCACTATGGACTAACTTTAAGGCCCAAAATATGCCAGGCCCTGTAATCACGTAAAGATAAATCTAGACTGACAACAGTAGAGAGACAGGCGGACACAGCAAATGGAGGCAGAGGCCTCAGAAGCAGCTGCAGGCGACCGCCCAGCGTGGTGGAGGGAGCAGAGAACACAGGGAACTTCCTGTCTGGCCAGGAGTAAGCAAACCTCCTGGAACGGGCCGACAACGATGCTAGAGGCTGTGCGGGCCACGCAGTCTGTCTGCGCTCTGGCTTCATAGTACAGGGTGGGGTGGTCATGTGCCAGACAGACTTTATCCAGAAACGCAGGTGGTTGCTGTGGTCTGCGGACCCCTGAGCTGGGCGGTGGTGGATCATTTGTCGGTGGTGGCCTCTATTTCCAGTGCATTTTAAATGTAACTTGTTGTTACCAGCTGCCTCTTCCAGTTTATTTTTCCTGGTGGCATGAATCTACTGTAAGGGTGTTTTTAAATCATAATGATATTTTTACTTTCTTAAGAAATTGCGAGAAGAGTGTGAGAGACATGACGCTCAGGAATGCCTCTCAGCTGAGATGGAGCAACAAGGAGGCGACGATGAGGTCAGAAAGCTCGTGTGGCTTCTGGACTGGACAAGCTAAAGGGGCCTGTCGGCATTGAAGGTGTTGAGTAAGGAGCTCAGGTGAGCAGCTCCGGTGAGAACTTTTCCCCCATTTGACTGGACCTTCTCAGTGTGCCAGGAGCAGGTCAGTCCCTTCTGCACATGTCACCTATAGTGAAAATGGCCTGTGCCCTTCCTCCTCCCATCTGGGTGTCTGAGCCTGGGCCACCTGCTGGCCTGCGACACTCAGGCCCAGAGCACCTGACACACAGCCTTCTTGGCCTCCAGCCTGGCCCACCCTTTATCTCTGGACAAAGAGAAGAGGGGGAGATCCAGGGCCCCCCAGCAGGCCTCTGGGGCCCTGCACAGGCCTGGCAAGTCCAGCCATCTCTTTCAGGCCTCAGCGGCGACCTTGCAGTCCTACATCACACTTGCATAGCAAGCGAAGTCTTCAGTGCTTTCTGTCTTCTGTGAGTGTGTATGTTTTTAATCAACTCACTGCCGTAGCAAAAGCACCCAATTAGAGTTGTAAAATGTGGACTGGCCTCCACGTGAACACTCCTGGCTGCTCACAGGACATCCTCAGAGGGTCGCGCTGGGAGCCCAGTGCTTTGATGTCAGCACTGGGCTGGGGGCAGGACAGAAGCATATGGGGAAGGGGACCAGCTGGCATCCTTTGCACATTACACCCCCCCCACCGAGGGCCCAAGCACCCCACAAACGTGAGGCAAAGGCGGTGGTGACATAAGGGGCCTTGCTGACCCAGGGCCTCACATAGTGCAGACCAGTCCCAGGTGGAGACAGGCCAGGGGCTTCCTGTATTTTGGCCCGCAGACGCGAAGGAAGTTGGAGTTGGTGCGCCTGTCCATCGCTACTTCCTTGCAGGCGGCCTTGGCCTCTTTCCACATTTGGCTCCAGCTCTGGGTTTATGGGCCACATGGCAGGAAGTCCACAATTGCAGTGCTGCCAGAAACCAGGGAAGAGGCCGCTCTCCAGGGGCGTGGCCTGGGCAGGTCTGGCCAGAGGCTGGGGACGGGCGCCCTTTGTAGCACCATGGCCACGAGGACATTACATGTATAAATTCTCAGAACTCCAGAGCTGCGAAAGATTATAGAAGTCATGGTTCATTTCACATTGAAGAAGATCCAAGAAAGTGAGATAACTTTCCCAGAACCGGGGCAAAGGCAAGACTAGCCCCCGTTTCCTGATTCCCAGGCTCCGCTTGAGCCCACAGAGGCCTCTACCCCCTCCGGCGAGGGAACACAGAGCCCTGGTAAAGGTCATCAGATATATGCTTATAAGAGACAGCATAAACGCATTTTATACCTTTTTCCTCCTCCTACTTCATCTCAAAGACAACTTCCTGGAGCAATAATTATAAGACTGTGTTGATGGATTTATAATATACAAAGATGTAAGTCCTACGACAGTAAGAGACAATAAAGGATGGGAGAGGGCTGGACCAAAGTTGATATGTGCTAATGAAAGAAGGTCAGTGTCCATCCGAATCCGATTATACTAAACTAAGCTGACAACTCTAACCCCCAAGACCACAACTAAGAAAATAACTCAGAAACCTATACTGAAAAATATACACAGGAATTAAAATAATGTCTAAAACTATCACTTAACACAAAAAAAATAGTGATGGAATAATACAAGGGAAACATATGAAATAGAAAAAACAAATAACATGTAAACCTTGCCTTATCAGCAATTACAAACTGTGAATGGAATTTTAAAAATTTCAATCAAAGGTTGGGCCCTGGCTGGGTGGCTTAGTTGGTTGGAGTGTCTTCTCTTACACCAACAGTTGTGGGTTCAATCCCCAGTCAAGGCGCATACAGGAGGCAACCAATGGATGTTTCTCTCACATCCACGTTTCTCTCTTTCTCTCTCTCCCTCTCCTCCCCCTTCCTCTCTCTAAAATCAATAAATATATCCTCAGGTGAGGATTTAAAAAATAAAAAAAAGACCAAGATTGACAGAATGGATTAAAAAATGATGCAACTATGTGCTTTCTACAAGACACACACTTTAGGTTAAAAGACACAACTAGATTGAAAGTAAAGGATCGAACAGGCATGCGGTGCAAACAATAGTCAAAAGAGAGCTGGAGTGGCTATACTCATCACAGACAAAATAGACTTCAAGATAAAAATTATTACTAGAGACAAAAAAGAATATCTCATGAAAAAAAGAGCCCACTCATCAGAAACATAATGATTGTTTATATAATATATATCTGCTACTAATAACAGAGCCCCAAAACACAGGAAGCAAAAGCTGGCAGTATTGAAGTGAGATACAGCAATTAAAAAATAATAATTGGAGACTTTGATGTCCTACTTTTAATAAGAAGATAACTAGGATGAAGATCAACCAAAAAATAAAAGGCTAGAACAATAGTATAAACTAACTAGACTTAACAGGCATCTATAGAACACTTCACCTAACAATAGCAGAATACAAATATTCTCAATTACATGAGAACAGATTGTATGCTAGGCCATAAAACAAGCCTCAGTAAGTTAAATAAATTGGAATTTTATAAAGTATTATCTTCAAACACAATAGAACTACAGTAGAAAGCAATAACAGAAGAACATTTGATGAATTCACAAATATATGCAATAAACAACACACCCCTACATAACCAGTGGATCAAAGAAAAAAATCATTAAAAAATTTACACTATTTTGGGATTAATGAAAATAAACTGACAACATAC